TTCTTTTCAGCCATCTTGAATTCACAATGAGTGCGMGCGCGCGTTCCGGCTTGGTGTGAAAATGGCGCGAAAATTGTAACGCGCGGTGTTGATTGGCTRAAATTATTCAAAAAAGCGAGGTAAAAAATTAATAGTTTTTCTATTCTCTTTCTTTCAGGAGYCCGAATAAAGTAGTCCATCGTCTTGGATTTTTCTGTACATTTTTGTGGATAACCGCTATAGCATGTTGGATTAATGATCGTGTTTTTTGTGAAACGTGGAAGAGTTTGTCCTTCCCRTATCTTCATTGTGGTTGGCATATTCTAATCTTTGTAGCTTCATATCTCGCTTGCGTCATAGCAGCGTACATTCATGCAGTGAATGAATTTCCACAATATAAACCATCGATTATATACTGGCCTGATAATTCGTATCAACTCGGGTTTCCATATGTGACTGTAAAAGTCGAAAACGGWAAAGACTTGTTGGCTTGAACGAAATCGAGGTATGGTACTAAAGAAAACATGTTATCTGTTTTTAGGAAGTTTTTTCGAATGAATGAATATCCCCGCTTAAGTGCCAGGATTCCTGTTTCTTTGAAAGTCCACTTTTCCRCAGGAAATCCAAAAGATGAAAAGAAACACAAGCTAATCTCGTGATCTTTCAGTAGTCCAAACTGAGACTCTTTAAATATTCGGAAATTTCTCACTATCAGACCAGAAAACATATGCTTGATTTATACTTCTATTTCATTTATTTATTTTTCGGTCCGGTATCCTAGTCATTCGCRCGCTGTGATTGGCTAGCGCGCGGTCCGKTTTTTCACGATCTGCCTGGTCCATGGTATCCTGCAGYTAGGCTGCGAGCAAAGTTGCATAARATACAAATAAAAAAATAAGTGTTTTCCTATACGGACCTCCCAGCCGGTAAATAACATATATGCATTACTAATCTACTTTCTGTGCTGTTTTTAGGATGATGGCRTCATATGAAAAATGTTTTGCAAAGATTTCACGAAAACAGAATAACAAGAACTATTTATAATTATTAGTATTTAAGCCCAAAAAGCGATAAAAAAAATTAGGTCATGAGTTCCATCAGAAAAGTGACCGTCTCGATTATGACATCATTTATACAAACATTTATATTTATTTTTAGGTGACGTCACTTCTAGCGGTGATATTTAAAATCCAAAGAATTTATTTATTAGRATTGTTTATAAGTTTTGTGGTTATTTATTAATATGTCCACCTTGCTAAAAATTGGCCTGAATTGAAATTCTTTAACAGTTAGTAGAAAAGAAACCGGAATTATCACTTTGTAAATATTTGTATGGACAACTATTGGTATTTGCTGTATACTAGAGTGCAAACACTACAAATGCGTGCAACATTTCGCAGTGTAGTGCTAATTAATAAACACAAGAAAACTTTARCAATTGATCTTTTTCACCCATTCCAGATTCAAAAGATAATAKACCGGCGGCCATGTTGGAGTAATGGACAATAGATACTGATAAATCCTTTGTTAAAATCCTTCCAAGATAGCCGCTGTGACGTAACCCATAACGCCTCTCKTCACAATAAAACAAAACGTATCTTTTATAGTTTTAACCATTTCCTAAAAGTTATCAACTTATGGGCAGAGGAATAAATAATTATTGGGGTAATATATTCTCAAGGGARTAAGGGGAAGTAAGGGGAACAAGAATTCTACTAACAATTGGACATTATGGAATGKAATGACTTATATTTCAACCAATGTAACTTTGTACAATATATTCAACAGACATAACACTTTAAAAAAGTCTGAAAATCAATTTTGCATAAATTATAAATATACATTTGCCTTAGGAGTTTCACTCTGAAAATATAAATCGATAACATTAGATATAGTGTGAAGCAAAACCTTTTTTTCTTGAGATAAGAATTCACTCTGAATTCCATAATTTTTACAGATCCAAAGTTTAAGAATATCTATGTCATAGTTTCTTTGAACAGAATTATTAAAAACCCACGATTCCCTCAGGGAAGGAACTTTAATACCCACAATTCCTTTAGAGGAACAAAAAATTTAAAATGGAGATTTGAAAGTAATCATTTAAAGCTGTACGCTCTTCGCTTACATGCCATGACAGTATAACCCATGAAACACTAAGATATATCAAAACCAACCCATTTATGGAAAAACAGCACTTAATAAGTAGTTTAACTCATGTAAACGAACTAAAATTATGTATTTCATACAGTAATGTTGAAAATTTAATCTTAAGTTGCTATTTCCCATAATGGAGTTTGATTCTCGATTTTGGGAATACCATCACGTGACCTGTAAGTTCAAATCGACCGTTAAAAAAAACTATTTTCTTAGAAATATTCATCTTCCTCGTCACCATCTTCAGCATTTCGCGTCAGCATGTAATTATCCATATCRATAGACCGACAGTTGTTGATGGCATATCGWAGCCTGTCCGCCATTGCTTCAGGGCTGGAATATGGTGGTAGACGTAACTGGAAAAAACAAGTCTGCGCAGTGGGTAGACTATCTTCCTCCTGAAAACATAATGAAGTCAGTCAAAATTAATSAACTAGACGCTCTTAAAGGCGCTTACTCGGTCAGTTTTATGTTATGTCTGGGACCGGTTATAAGGATTTATCGGGYKKATAACGGTATTAACCCTCCGTACAACCAGMCATTATTTCATGTAGTTCTTCATAGATAATGTTAAGTCTTTACCCTATCTATCTTGACAATCTGGAATCTTTGAGCGACGTCACCAATATTGGCTGGTAGCCTGGACCGTCCAGATACAAACCGCATGAAGAGGATTCGTTCCTCATTSGTGAATGACTCCAAAGTCTGCCATAACCATGAAATGTGCGTGTCTGAAGGGTCTATTTCTCGGTATCTATTACAAATAGAAAATCGATATTATCCAATCAATTAAATTTATATACAGACAGTTAAGTCAAATACAAATCTAAAGAGAATTTAGGATATTTTCTATTTTTTATTTAATATTAAAATAAGTTCTCACCTGACAACTTTCTTCAACATGTCGATACTAATCTGCTCAGATCCACAAACCATCTGTTCCAGTTTCTCCGCGGTCAAAAGTGACAGCAAGGGGACTGGTAATATCCCTGCCATGCCTTCACGGATGGCATTAACCTGCCGATCAAACTCGTGTAATCGATAACGCAACGCCTGTTCTACGTATTCACTTCGATTTTCAAACGTCAGACGAATGCTGTGACCGCTAGGGAATATGGGTACAAAGCGACCATCRGCGCTGAGTGTCTCGAAAGACTCTATCGGRATGATCTGAGATGAAGCAAATAGTTATTAGTACTTATTATAAGACTATAATAAAACTAAGCCTTTCTTACCTCAGCAAACGTATCCCCATCTACACCACTCTCATGGATATCGCGAATTCCACGTAAGCTTTGTATGTAGAGTAAATCAACCTGAAAAATAAACAAACTCTTTTTTACCGTTTATTTTCGTAAAGTGATAAATAAATTGTGAATAAGCATGGGGTAAAAAAGCAAACTTTTCTCGTCTCAGTCATTTCAGTTTCACTTTGAGCTAAAAAAACGAGCTCACACTATAACAAAATGGCATGAGATTTAACATGGGAGCTGGGAAAAGCTAAAACACATCCTAAGACTCTTTCATTTGTTCAACTATATATTTAGAATCTGTTTCACACCTCCTCGATATCATCAGGTGTTAAAGGTATTCCGACCAGCTGTTTCCACACTAATGGCGCCAARTGTAGATCAAGAGGTTTCTTGGTTCGAACGGCGACGCCACACAGGATTCCCAAGAACTTAAACAAGATTAAATCGTCATCGGTAGTAGCAGCAGGATTAAGCAAAAACCTGACAAAAAACAATATTCATTACCATTAGCTGTTATACATTCAAYTCTCACTATAACGGACATTTTGGACAGAAATGTTCTTTCACATTAATGACGTCATGGTTGTTTGGGTGAAGTGCATCATGGTATTGATATAAGTTTCAAGATGGCGGACGTCATAAAAACTAAGAAGGGCGACGTTTCTTTACGAAGTTGTCCGCTGTCGGGAATGCTTTGTAAGATGGCTATTAACTAGACTGTACAGATGAATAAATGTCCCAAAATCGGCGTAAATGATWTKATAGAGGTCCAAATGTKTTCTAAAATATAGTTACTGACCTGTCTCTGTTAAAGCCCACTTCTGATGTGGCGTTKGGTGAATGGATAAGAAGAGGGACGATACCTTCCTCCAGTTCCTGYCGATGTTAAAAAGATCTTGTATAAATAAATTGTAGAAGCAATGATAATTTTCATGATGACAGAATTGATGATAATGACGATGCTGCTGCTGATGGTGATAATGGTGATAACGATGATGATGATGATGATTGTGATGACAATGATAACTTCCTTGCCATACCTGGCACATTTCTGTAATGGTATCATCAAACACACCACCGGCATCATCTGCTCCTTCTCCAACAAGCTTYACTTTCCAGGCTCTTGAGGGCAGACATAAATCACTTGACTTGAGCTTGACAACTTGGTGAGCAATTTGTACGAATATTGGCTTTGATTTTTTGCTRCTGGCACAAGACGATAACGAGTTAGTAAACTTTAGGAACCTCCATTATAATGTAGATTCAATAATAATTGTGTGTTCAAAAATCATCTAAACGTTAAATTCAAAATTAAAATGTTGTTGACAATAAAAGGTTAAGAATGTACACAGAAAAAGACAGACAACTGTGAAAACATTTATGACGTTTACAAACCCGTTAAGGTGTTAAGGTGTCAAATAGACGAAATCTATTTCACTGTTTTGTTGTTGATGTTGTTGTTGTTGTTGTTGCTGTTGTTGTTGTTGTTATGGTTTTTTTTACATCACTGTAAACCCGTGGAACAAATTCCAATTAAGGTAAGTCTCACCTTCCAATAAGTCTTTTCACAGTGATTTGCGGTCCATAATTCTTGCCTTGCACCATGGTCCGCCCTATAGCGCGAACTATTGGTAGGTTCGATACACGAGTGGCTAATAATGGACGCAGTTGACCTCGTACGAAACCAGTAGTACCACGATTATAAGAATGGTTGTCAATCTAGAGATGATACACCATACATTTTAAGGACTGATTGGAGTTATATTTGGACTGACAAATGCATGCTAAATAGTGAACTGTTACAAATGCTGGATAACCTTCACACATAAGTACCCTAAGTCCATTATTTGAGCGGGAAGAAATAATGACGATGATGATGATGATGATGATAATGATAACATCATCGAAATGAATCTTGCAGGTAAATTTTTTCATGCATCTTTAATTTAATACTTTCACACCTCAATTTCATTGACATGTCCCTGTAAAGCTTTAGAGTTCGTAAAAAAGAGGTTTCACATGATTATATTCATACCTCTCCAGACGTTAGATTTAAAAGTTTCCATGACGAATACACCAAATCAGAAAAGAAATGCAGCACCCTCAGCCTCGCTCTGACTGCTTCTGTGCTGACACCCTTGAGTGCTGGGTACTGTGGTGGAATATGCTCGGGTTGTCCCAGTTGTAACGGTGTTGTTGACCCAGGGGTACGGGTCTGCGGTGGTGGTGCAGTCCACGCAGCACTGTGGTTTCGACCAGCGGAGATCTGTCGTACGTTTTTKCCTTTAAGATCCTGTATCAGACATGGTTCRCGGTGCGTCACGCTATTTCCAAGACCAAGYTGACCGTCAACGTTYGACCCCCACCCCCACACCTCACCGGTACTTGTTAAAGCCAGTGTGTGCTCRGCACCSACGACAACATCGTCGACAAAGTGAGACGAAAGAGCAAGGATYTGTTGGGGTTTGCTGGGACCACGTAATCGTCCTTCTGGTTGACCGATCAAACGTTCTAGAATACAAGATGTAGAACGTGATAGTAAATCGAATTCATTTGTATTGTTTACCAAGTGATATATGTTATTATTCAATCAAAATTAAATTCCCTTCGTGGAAGTGTATGGGCGGATAAAGCACGCTCTTGAACTACTCAGAGTGTGTGCTAATGAATCAATAACACAAGGTGTTAATCTACCTTGCCCAAATGAAAAAAGCCTCCCATCTTTTGACAATACCACAGAGAACTGTGTTCCACAACAGACTTTCTTGATTCCAATGCCATTAAGAGCTTCAATGACCTGAGGTGAGGTCTTTGCTGTGGAACTTCCTAAACCTAATTTACCGTAGTCCCCATCGCCAAATGCCCAAACCGTGTTACCGTCGGAAGATACTGTAAGGGTGTGGTTCAGTCCACAGGCAACCTATTATATAATATAAATGAGTACATGGACAGACAGACAGACATAACACAATAGTGAATCAAGCAAAGTTAAGACGTATGGGATCTCAAACGAACAGCTCTATATTATAGATATCTCTACATCACAGACACCTCAATATCACAAACAATCCTTTAAGACCATTTCTATATTACRGACWCCYCTATTTTACGAACACCGTTACATTRCATAAAAAGTAAATATTACGATCACCTCTWTATTACGAAAACCCCTATATAAGGGGCACCTTTAAGTTACGATCACCTCAATAGATAGAAATAGTTACCTGTCCAATTGCATGTTTTTCAAGGGACATTACACGTTCAGGCGTCTTCTTGTTGACAGAGCTGCCGTGTCCRAGCCTACCATAATCACCGTTACCAAATGTRAACAGCTTACCATCGGAAGTGACTACAGCAGAGTGCTTGAAACCACAAGAAAGCTACAAGAAAATAAATATTCTAAGCCTGATAATACTTTTTGTGTTCGTTTTGTAAACGGTTACTTGATGAAGTTGATTATTATCTCGGTGGGCATTCATACTAAATCATACAAAGGGTCTATGTCTCTTAATGAGCCTATATCTTACATTGATGACTTCCTGTCCTCGTAGAGCTTCGATCTGTCTTGGTCGTCTTTGTCGATCGCTATTACCATGACCAAGCTTGCCATAGTCGCCGTCACCCCAGCTAAACACCTCACCACTTTCTGTCAATGCTAAGGAATGGCCATCGGAACCACACGATGTGGCCAGCTGGATCACAACATAACCTACACAAGCAGAGAAAGATATATACAGTCAACTCTCGCCTTACGGACACCCCGCTATTACGGACACCTCGCTATTACGGACACCTCGCTATTACGGACACGAGATACTGAATCCCCGGCGAAAAATACAAAGAAATGACTTAAAAGTAACTCCCATTAGTACGGACTCTCGCTACTGCGGACACTAAATTACGGTCGCGAGGGTGTCCGTAATAGCGAGAGTTGTATAGAGAATCTCTTATAGGAGAAAGATGGAGTAAAGTGAGTTTGCTTTGAAAGCCAAACATGGTAGCTAACCTTGTAATGCTGCAACTGGTGTCAAAACAAGCAGATCATCCGAATTCCCCATTCCCAGTCTTCCATAACTTCCCTCGCCACAGGCTAATGCTGTGCCATTTGTTTGCAGTTCAAATGTACAATTCTGACCACATATAATCTGATTAGCCTTTGAAAATGACTTGGTAATGGTAGGAACGTTCACTCCTCGACCTGTCTCTGCAAGTTGTCCATGTCTCCCTCCCCCCCAAAGGTACGCATCACATTTGCCGCCAGTCTCCCACTGTTCGGGTCTTTGCATGGCCCAGGTCATAACTTGTTCGTCCATGGTAAGACTCCAAGCCGTATTGTCCTGAAATGATATTAAAATGTCACGTAAGTATGGATTAGTCTCCTGCAAATGCAAGACATCCCCTTAACAAATCATTACTTACCAGGGGTTGGTAAGGTTCATCTTCGCTRATCTTCTCCTCATTAGGAACAGTAAAACTACTATGAAAGACATCTCTAAACGTCAAGGCGTCCGCTGAGCGCACAGCCACRCAGAAGGTTTTCAGCCATGCCCATTCTGATAGAATGTCACTAGGATGACAAACTGAAGTCAGGCTTGTGGACAGGGCGTGGCAAAGCACGTTGTCAAGGTCTAAAGCAACGACCAATGCAGCAAATGATTGGAGGAACGAACTATGAACCAGTTGGTCTCCGCGGCTTAGCGTGGCCTGAAAGAACGAAGTATYTAGCTGATTATTACTGAAGATAGTGATAATAGCATCCGGTACCATAATACCTTTTCGTAGTTGTATTGATCTTGTAAAAGGTTGGGCAATCTCTCGAGCAGGCTTCGAAAGCAAACAGAATCACTCAATCCCGAAATGCCTTGCATTCTGAGTTTCTCCCGTGCCCAGGCCACTATTCTGTGTCTTTTGTACCAGTCAATGTTGAACTTTAAGAGAACTGGGTCCTAAAGTGAGAAATAATGGCGATATTTTAGTGATATTCAACAGATCAAAATCTCATGAGACATAAATGGGTCTTCAGATGGTGTTACCTTGGAGTCCTTGAAGGATGCTGTGACACCATGTTCACCTGTCCACACCATGCTCATTGCTGAGCCGTTTTCTTGATAAGTCTGAGCTATTACGCCGTCCTGCAATGAAAATGATGGATTTAGTATGTCCAAAGCAATATGAATAAATAACAGATAATAATACCTGGATAGACCATATATTAACTAAGCCTTTTTCACAACACGATGCCATGAAAACCCCCGAAGGACAGAACGACAACGAAGACACAAGGGAGTCGTGGCCTTTGACCTCAAATAGACATAAGCAGCCCTTGTAGCACGAGAAATCCTGATGTAAACTCTGTTGCGAGCCCGACAAGCTTCTGTTATTCTTTCCTAGTGCTTCTATGATGTCGCTGTAGAGGAAAACTCGACACCAGCGCTCTGGTTTAGAGTTYAACTTGGGTGAAGTGTTTCTTTTTGGAATTGCAGGCACGCTGTCAACACTGTGAGATGACGCACTGCGCATGATCGGGCTGTCGTCTGATCCCACACGTTTGAAGTTCGCCATTAGCTTTTTGATGGATTCTTTTTCGAGAGGACGTGGAACTTTGTAGACGCTTACTGTTCCGTCAGACCCACCACTTTTATAATGACAAAATAATTCATTAATTATAACTCTAACGGATAGCTCTAACTCTTACTAAATACTCGAACTCTTACTAACATTCTAACTCTTACTAAAAACTCTAACTCTTACTAAAACTCTAACTCGCATTAATAACTCTGTACCTAAAAATAGCTTTAACTCTTAATGATAACTCTTCCTTATATTAATCTTTCTGCATATACATATATATTGATGACTTCAATCATTTTTAAAACACTTACAGTGCGATTGCTCCAACACCATCATCACTGCCTTGAGTTTCAAACCAGCAAAAACTCGACACAGGAGAGCTGGATAACTCAAATATATGTTGTAGAATAACTCCATCGTCAACCTCATACCAGACCTACAAAAGAACGATTGCAGAAAATGAAATAAAATAAGAAAAAAAAAAGGAAAAATAAGATGAAACAGAGATAAAAAATCCCAAACCTTCACTGGTTCATTCTCTGCACAAGAGATCAGCGCCATGCCAGTTTTATCGAATTGTAAACCGATAATCATGCTCTACGATTGGGAAATATTACAATGGTTAGAGAAGAAGGAAAATGAAATAAAGAAATGACAAGGATGGAAGGTACCTGGTGAGCCGGGACCATCTTGACAGCTTCGCTTGGATCTTTCTTAGCCAGACAAACGACTCCGTCCATAAAACCAGCAGCAAAACTGTTACTGTCATCGTACCAGCTGACTCGACATACWGGATCTGGAAACAAACAAATTTCTAATTTCTAACCATACAAAGATTAATGTAAACAATGACAAATGCATTGGCTGTCCAGCTGAAAACTCCAAATGTCATGCAATGAAGTTGGTCTTGTTGTCAATGTTGTTGTCGTCGCGTCTTTATTGTTGTTGTTGCTGTTGTTGTTGCCATTATTCCTGTTGTTGTCGTTGTTACTGTTGTTATCGCTCCGATTGTTGTTCATGCTCGCCATAAGAATATTACAAACATAATGACTAATTTTCCAATAGCTCCGTATATTTCTTCATTTGCTTACTTTTTCTAGAGCAGTGTTCAAGCTCGACTCGAGCCATGGAGCTCTTGTCAAACACTTCCACCACAGCTAGACTGCCGTCAATACGACCCACGAGCAGATTGTCCATAGTGGTCACGTGACTTTCCATGAAACCACGTGATATCGGCCACGTCATGCAAGTGATGTGGTGAGGATGTTTATTCAAGTTACCGTGGTTACCTAAAAAGCAATCAAGGATAAATAAACTTGGTTTGAAAGTCAATGAACATCATGAAAGCAACCACATTTTTAGAAAATGGTCACCTCCACTAAACGACCATTCACAAAAGGTGTCTTTTCTACGACCACATCAAATTTCCCTAACAATGCATACGTTTTAGAATATGTTGAATGACTTACCAGATAACGTCCAGATATTTACTAAGTTCTCTACAGCTCCAGCCAATAACTTTCCATTTGCCTAAAGCCACAAAATGCAAATAACAATTAGATTATAGCTCAGTTCTAACACGCGCGTGGATTGGCTGACGACTCGTGATTTACAGATCTCTTCTCGTGTTCTCCCAACCATCCCGCGCGGTTTATTTTGCCAGTAAACCGCTTCAAGCTATCGTTTATTGCTTAATTAACTTCTCTGTTTTAACCTTTGCGGGAATGTCAGTGCACCGTAGGGGCACGGGAAAGAGTTCGTAATACAGAGGTTGCACTGTTTTATAGGGAGCTTCCAATCACCTATATATGTCAACGAAATACAATTTTACTTACGTTAAAGCAGACGCACTCAATTTCTCTCAAGTCTGGAGTAGAGCTTCGTTCTTCTTCATGTGAGAAGGTGAAAGTGTATGACTGTTGCAGTATAGTATGACCTTTGGACGTCATGTTCCATACATTAATAACGCCATCCAATCCACTATGGAAGAGAAAAAATCACTATAGTCTTTTGAAAAGAGAAAAAACGAATAGAAACTGAATAATAGATAAGAACACATGAAATTGAAGAAAAATGGGAATTACGAATATTGATAAATTTCCACTATCAAGACAAACTTGTAAGTAGGCACAAGTGTACATCATCACGAATCGTCATAGCAACTGATGGGATCACGAGCCTCATACCTTGTGGCCAGCAGACTCTTGGTAGCATTCCATGCGCAGTGTTTGACCTGTTAAAAAAGACATTGGTTTGCTTATGAGGGTTAGATTATAGAATACCCATCTACTTCATGAATTCATTAAAATTTATAGAAATCTGTGTCGTTCTTACAAGATCTGATATACAAATTTCTATTTTGCAMCAACKTGGGCGGTTTATRAGTACAAATCGGTGATGTTTACTAACCTCACTTGAGTGYGCTTTTAATTTGATTTTGGGGCATTGTGGGATATCGCCTGTAAAACAAATTGTAATAACCTTGGTGAGAATCAACCTCGTTCCCAGGCCCTTATCGATATGGACCTGGAATCGAGGTTGGGTSAGAATGAGGTCAGCCACAGCCCACCAACAAATAAGTTCATATCAAGCTTTCCTACCATCCATGTCRGCCGAGATTTCCTTTGGTTGTTCAGCAATTCGTAGTTTGCTTCTATATGCCAATGTCCTAACCAGCTCAATAGCAGCCCATTTCCTATGGGGGGAGGGGAGGTACGTAGATAGACAACATCCAGACAGTGCATTAACGAGGGGGAGAGGGACAGTAGATTCTTTTACAGGGCCTCTTGATGGACCTGAATATTTACCTGAACGAAAATGATGAGATTTATTATTAAATTGAATGTTTGATGATGTTGATAATAGTGATGAAAGTCATATTTTTTACCCATACCTCCAGCTTCTGCTAGTAAGTCTACTAAAGCCTGGGTTACCACAAAACTTGGCAGAGACAAAGCCCTTTGGTCTGAGGAAGACGGGTCATAGTCACCGCATGAGCGAGGTAAATGTATTCCACGCTTTTTAGAAGGCTTGTCGATGGATTTCTTTAAAGTGGCTTTGCCTATAGATAAAAAACAATGACAAAATTACAGAAATCGGCTGTAATACTTGCAGTTGAACATGCGCAATAGAGTCAATTTCGTATGAGTGGGAAACGGACGGCACTGTACTGTAACCGTAATAGTACTGTAACCAAATTCTAGTGTTTCCTTGCTTCACAAAAATTGTGCAGGCCAGGTCCGGTAACTGTGCGGTAACCGTGCGGTAATTTCTACCGTACGTTTCCMACTCATACGAAATTGACTCTAGTAGATACMTACCAGTTGCAGACGTCATTAAGTCCCTGACACASAGRTTCAAAAGAAGACGAGCTGAGGTTTGATCATCGGTAGCTAAAGCACACACCGCTTTGCTYAAGTCTTTTAGACTTTGGTTGGATCTCGCCTTAGTATCATCAACATCAGGCTTACATGAACCCGATACACAAATCCTGCCGGCAGCTACAAGYCTCATGAGACTAACAAGGATTTTAGTATCACCAAGACCTAGAGGTACAAACAACAATTCAACTTTAAAATAAGTTG